GGCTCCGCGGCCCCTTCGGAAGCGGCGTCCAGGGAAAGCGCCGGGAAGAGCTCGGCTCCGAAGCGCGGCGCCAGCTGCTCCAGCGTGGCCACGTACTTGTACATGACGTCCCGCTCCGAGAGCTTCCCGGCTCCCACCGTGTGCCGCTGGAAGCGCCGCACGAAATTCCGGAATACGCTCCTCATCCGGAATCGCGTCACGTAGCTGTTCTGCCGGAGCTGCCGGCGGAAGGAGCGCGGGATGCAATCCTGGAAGCTGCCGCAAGAAGGAAAAGCCGCTCAGGGAGGATGCGGCGCTGCCGGGAATGCCGGAGCCGCTTCCCGGGATTCCCACCTGCATTTCCGGGCCGCTTCTTCCAGGGAAATGCCCTTCTTGAGGGCCAGGTGGGAAAGATGGAGCACGGCCATTCCCAAGCTTTCGTTCTGGAAGCGCTGGAGTTCCTGCTCCGTGTGCAGATCCCGCAGCGAGACCACGTCGTGGATAAAATCATATTTTCCCTATGGAAAAGAAAACAATAAATGGGAATTACACGGAAGAGAAAAGCTTCCCAATCCGGCTCCAGTGGGACAACATCTTCCCGATGCTCCCGGTGTTCCGGTTGGGACAAAAAGACATGGGAAGAGGCCCTGAGGCGGACATGCTCCGGGCTCCTTCCCAAGCCACGATCCCACTTTTCCTGGCTTTTCCCGGGATGCGGCGCCCGGTACCTGCTCGAAGAGGTACTCGAAGGACGACTTGTCCAGCAGGGCCCCTCCGGGAATCCGCTCATCCGGGGAATCCGCCGGCTTCGGAGCGTTCCGGAACACGGCCGGCTCCTTCTCGCTCAGCCCGTGCCAGTTACGGAAGTAGAACCTGCGGAGCGGGAATGGGAGCGGGAATTCCGGGCAGCTTCCCAACGGAGCCGGCAGCCTCCAAGGGAGCTGCGCGTTTCCAGGCGATTCCCATGGAAAAGCGGGTATTCCCACGGAGAAGCCGGGTATTCCCACGGAGAAGCCGGGTATTCCCGGCGCTCCGGCCCGGCATTCCGCTCACCTCATCCGGAAGAGCAGGTCGAGGTTGGTGTCTTTTCCAATGTGGAATACGTGGTTGGGCGGGAGCCAGATCCGGCTCTGGGCGTCGTAGAGGCCGAAGAGGCTGTAGCAGAGCGGCGTGATTCCTGCCGGGAACGCCGAGCCGTGAGCGCCTTCCCGGAATGCCGGGATAACCGCCGCGTTCCGGGATAACCCGCGCGGCCGCGCGCTCCGAGCGGGACCGCGCAGAGCCCGGGGAATCCGATTGGGAAGAACAGGGCATCCCAACCCGCTTCCCAGGATGGCAACTGCGAAGAACAAGGCATCCCATCCCGCTTCCCGGGATGGCATCCCACTTCCCGGGATGGCAATTGGGAAGAACAGGGCATCCCATCCCGCTTCCCCGGATGGCATTCCGTTTCCCGGGATGGCAATTGGGAAGAATAGGGCATCCCATCCCACTTCCCGGGATGGCAATCGGGAAGAACAGGGCATCCCATCCCGCTTCCCAGGATGGCAATTGGGAAGAACAGGGCATCCCATCCCGCTTCCCGGGATGGCATCCCACTTCCCGGGATGGCAATTGGGAAGAACCAGGGCATCCATCCCGCTTCCCGGGATGGCATCTCCTATCGCCCGGAAAATCCATAACCCCGGTACCAAAACGCCGATTTTTAAAAGCAAAATCCGCAATTTCCGGGGGGAAAAAGTAAAAACAACCGAAGCGGTTTAGGTGGAAGAGAGATTTTCCCATCCTGGAATAAAACTGGGATTTTTCCCAAAAAAAACCAGGAATGTGCTGACCGAGGGCGCGCGCCACGTCGATGCAGACGTCCTCGGCGCTCAGCGTTCCGCAGGGATAGCGCCGTTCCCGCTCCTCCGCGCCGCCCCAGTGCAGCCGGATCCGCAGCCCTCCGGAGCCGCCGTCGGAAGCGTCCGGACGTTCCGCGCGCCGGCACAGGGACATGGCGCTCCGAGGAGCTGCGGGAGCGGAGCCGGGAATGACGGCGCCCGGAGCCTTCCTGTTCTCCAGGAGCCTTCCCAATCCCGAGGAGCCTTCCCTATCCCGAGGAGCCTTCCCCATTGCACGGAGTCTTCCCGCTCTCCAGGAATCTTCCCAATCCCAAGGAACGTTCCCCATTCTCAGGAGCCTTCCCAATCCCAAGGAATCTTTCCCATTCCTGGGAGCCTTCGATCCCGTGGAGCCTTCCCTATCCCGGGGAGCCTTCCCTATCCCGGGGAGCCTTCCCTGTCCCGGGGAGCCTTCCCTGTCCCGGGGAGCCTTCCCCATTGCATGGAGTCTTCCCGCTCTCCAGGAATCTTCCCAATCCCAAGGAACGTTCCCCATTCTCAGGAGCCTTCCCAATCCCAAGGAATCTTTCCCATTCCTGGGAGCCTTCCCCATCCCAAAGAACCTTCCCCATTCCGGGGAGCCTTCCCAATCCCAAGGAACCTTTCCCATTCCCAGGAGCCTTCCCAATCCCAAAGAACCTTTCCCATTCCTGGGACCCTTCCCCATCCCAAAGAACCTTCCCCATTCCCGGGAGCCTTCCCAATCCCAAGGAACCTTCCCCATTCTCAGGAGCCTTCCCAACCCCAAGGAACCTTCCTCATCCCTGGGAGCCTTCCCAATCCCAAAGAACTTTTCCCATTCCTAGGAGCCTTCCCCATCCCAAAGAACCTTCCCCATTCCTGGGAGCCTTCCCTATCCCAAACAACCTTCCCTATTCCCAGGAGCTTTCCCAATCCCGAGGAACCTTCCCCATTCCCAGAAGCCTTTCCCAACCCGGGCAGCTTCCCCCATCCCGCGGAGCCTTCTGGATCCCAAGGAATCTTCCTGCCCTTGGGCAGCCTTCCTGATCCCCAGGAATATTCCTGATCCTAGGGAACCTTCCCCATCCCGGGCAGCCTTCCCCATCCCAAGGAATCTTTCTCCTCCTTAGGAGCCTTCCTGATCCCAGGGAGCCTTCCCGATCCCTGGGGGGGCTTCCCTGATCCCTGGGGGGCTTCCCTGATCCCCGGCAGTATTCCTGATCCCAGGAAACCTTCCCGATCCGTGGGAGCCTTCGAACCCAAGGAATCTTCCTGCTCCGGGGGAGCCATCCCGATCCTGGGGAGCCTTCCCGATCCCTAGGAACGTTCCTGACCCTGGGAAACCTTCCCCATCCCAGAAAGCCTTCCCCATCCCGGGGAGCCTTCAATCCCAAGGAGTCTTCCCAATCCTTGGGAGCATTCCCGCTCCCCGGGAACATTCCCGATCCCAAAGCACCCACCTCGCTGCACGATGGAGCATAACTCGGACGCGATTCCGGAGCGCTCTCCCGGCGGCTCCTCCTGCCCAGGGAAAATCCCGGTCGGCAGCGGGA